CTGCAGATTAAGATCACTGATTTTACCAAGACAAAATGTAAGAGCACTGTAGGCCCACATAAGGGCAGTCCATGAAAGCATTTACTTCCAACATATTTCAAAATCGCCCTAATCCAAGTGTGCGCAGGTGATCTTGCCAATTCTGTTTACTTTTATATGTCCAACTTTAATCTTTTGACTACCTGCAAGTTGACAAACAGGCTTGTCCTGTACTGATCTCCTAGAAAATGTAATCCATGAGATAGTGCTGTTCCTCACTTAAACAATGTGGGAAAGCTTAAAAGAAAGCATAGTCATAGGGTTGAAAGAATATATTTTTGGAAATATGTTTAGAATGATCATATAGTACCATTGTAGCTTGAGAAATAATTTAGACAGGTTCTCCATGCCAGGTCCTGATGAGCTCCAGTCTGGCAGGTTTCAGACATGACCTTTAAAATCATCATTTTGAAAGGACTGAAACAATTTAATGATGATCAACGAAATAGGTGTTCAAATAACAAATTTAGAGATCAATTGGAATATATATCAGAATCTTCTTCAACTAAAGACCAGTGCCCCCCTCATTGAAACATTACTTAACTGATCAATTGCTTAAGCAAGTGTTCCTAATCTTTAAATAAAAGGAGATTTAGGGTGACCTATAAGTAACTGAATAGGAGCTCTCCAGGACTAAAGATGGAGATCCGTGATTTAAAACAATGTTTGATTGTCAACATGTTACACAAGTGATTTTAATACATCCCAAGACACAGATATATTATACTTTACAGAGAAAGATTAATAAATTAGACTAATCAATTAAGATATTCACAATTTTCCAAGGATGACTTTAGGTTTTGAGGTTACAATTTTACATTAACAGGTGATGTATTTACAGTAGGACTGAAAATATAACATAAGTAAAATGTGTGTCTAATGTTAACAATAGTATATATATATAGTTAAACAGCGCTACACAAACCTTTTACACAGAACTGTTTAATTGAAATTAAATGATTTCACAGGCACTTAACCTGACCTTTTCTAAACTTATCTTGCATTCTTTAAATAGTTTACCTCTGCTAAACTCTAAAAGAACACTCACATTACAAATGATGATGCCCTTCCTTTGAGCCCCAAGGACCTGGTGACAGAAAATTCCAAGATGCCAAGATTGGATGCCAGTAGGGCACAAAGCAGCAGTGATAAGTGATAAGCTGAGATGTAATAATGAGGTTGGAAGATTCAGGTCCGACATCAAATAGACAATGCATGGCTGTCTGTGCTGTGGTTAATTAAATTAAATGTACCAAAAATTATTAATAGAGTGACAAATGTGGAGATATCCACCATAGCATATGAGTAAGAAAAACCTATCCCTATCTCTGTTGGGTCAATGGTTTCTACAACCACTGTATTTGTAGAAGGCAGCTTGTTTCATCAACATGTCTTCTTATGGCTTTTCACAAAAGTAGTTATTAATCAATTACAGCATACATCCTATACATTCTAACACTGAAGCACAATCTCTTGAAGCCTGGCTTCTTCTGAAGGATCCAATGTTGGCTAGACGTAAACAGCTACTGTATATGATGAGAGTAAAAATCATTATTAGTCTAGTCTGTTTTGTAATATTTCCTACTTTATGATTAAAAGAAATTGTGTAGTTAAAATCAATGTCCAACTTAAAATTCAGCTACAATTTTTTATTGCAAAAACCATGTTCTTTTTGGCGTTACGAATCTTGTGACTTTGTTGAAATTTCCCTGTTGGCGCCAACACATATCTCCTGTCATGATAAGAAAAACACACAATGTTGCCAGCATATTTCAAATTCTCTACACAAACTCACGTGATACTGATTATAAAACATCAATATCAAACATCATTGTCCATGTGTTTCAGCAGATTTCTGTTTCATTAAAAATGTAAACAAGATTCTTGTCTGTATGTTGCTGTTAGCCTCAGTTTGCTGATCTAATTCATTTAAAACACAAATTACAAATGTACTTTCATGTTTTTATAGTGTTTTGTGCTATGTTTGCACTAGCATTATTGTAATTCTGCTTGGTATGTATCGTTCTGTTTTGTACTGGTATCTCTACAAACTTCATGAATTCTTTAAGCTGCCTGGCTGAAGGCATTTATTTACAAAAAATCTAAAAAAAGAGTATGTTAATTAAGTGCTGTCCAAGGCTAGCTGACCAGGAACAATTATAGGTGCATGTATTGATTGTTCTCAGTGAACAATATTATTGTCATATATAATCTGACAATATAATCTACATAAGCATCTTCAAGTAGAACAGTTGTTAAAGAAGAAGTCTTGGTACTTTCCCAAAACACTGAGCAAGACAACTAAAGAATCATGACCGTTTGGTCTCAATGAGACAACATTTTGTAAACACAACCATCCTAACATTTCTTTATTAGGTGACTGCACGACGCTTGTTCAGGCTTAGTATTAACAAGGTTGTTTTATAATTATAAACTCTGGTTTTTATAATTTTGTATTAACAATGATTTCTAAACATAAGTAGAGTAATAGAGATGGGTATATGGGGAAATGTCATATGATTCAGTTTCATAGGCAAAAAGGAATCATGAACTCTGGGCGAATAGACTTTCTGGGCAACTTTCAAACCATCAATCCACTTTCTAAAGAAATCCTCATTGAAAATAACAAAAATGTTGAGCATCATAAGAAACGTTTCCCTAAGCATGCCAGATTTTAGAAGAACAAACAATTTTGTGTATTAAAAAAAATTGACATCATTTTTCATAACTGACTAATTGCTGTCATGAGCTCTGACCTTCTCACAGGAGATTAAATGGTCTGACCTGTTCAAAGTCAGAAAAACACAGAAGGTTACCAATATGCCCTGCTTATGAAGAGAACAATGTCTTCATGCCAGTGTTGTTGGAGTGATGTTGGAGGCTACGCTAAGGCAGAGCAGTGTTGCCCTACTGTCTAGGGTATTTTACATGGTTAGCAATTTCTATCCTGGCCAGATGTTTCAGCCAAACGCAGTCCATTCACAATGCCAGGCACCGATCTAGAAAACCACAAGGCACACCTCACAAAGACTGGTGCATCATCATGCCGCCCATTTTTGATTGTTTTTGGGCTGTCAGTTCCACTGCATCACAAACTCTGGGTCGCAGCAATAAGCACATCAGCATCTCAACAAGGAGGAGGACCAAGCAGGAGCCCAGTACTCACCAAGTTCCATCAAGCGACAGAATGAGATGGTATAAGCGTCACTCCAGATAGACTTGCCAGCTGTGGAGTCAAGGTCTCTTTAGCCATGACTCGAGGTCTTAAGTTGACAAATGTCATGGGATTCTGCGATTGTAGTGCAGGTCAGTAAAATGATATGCCTACCACAAAAGTCAATGGAGAGGTCCAAGAGGAATGGGTTGGGCAGGAGTGTCTCGTCCCTACTGAACTCCTGTTCTGTGAACCACATGCAGTGATTGATGGCAATCTGACTGTACAGCAATACACTGATGTTATGTGACATTCATGTTATGAATGTCAATAAAGTAGCAACAAAATTAATAATTTCCCCAATAATAACCTTTGAATTTATTGCACTTACAAAAATGTGATATCAGTAACATCATAAAAATGTGTAAAAGTGTATGATATCCATACCTGTACTGTCTTCAGCTTGATTGGCATTTTCAACCATGGTCACATTAAAAAAATGTGCTCTGGATATACAAACAGCACTGAAAAGCCACTTTTACCTCTTACAATAGAGAAGTAATTCAAATGAAGTTTTTCCAGTGCTGCACTTCAAAATGCCATGTGTCACAACAGAATTAAAGTTAACACCACCATACGTTTAGTTATAGCAAACCGACAGCAAATTTATGGTAATCAATGTCTTTGCCTATAAGACCTTGATCAGAATAAATTTGCTTCTCTTGCCCTCATCTGTAAAAGCAGAAAATTTCTACAGATAAGCAATTTGAAAAAAAAAAAGAATATTGAATTTAAATCTGTATTTGGGCTTCCAAAAAAGTTTAATAGTTTCTAGACTCCCAAAAGAAAATAATACAATATGCATTCAATATAGATATATTCCAGTTAATCTATAGTTATTCTAGTTTTGGCCTGTTATTCCTCGAAAGTGACTAATACCCCATGGATTTCATTTTACTGGAAGAGTGTGTCACACTTTGAAATGCTTCTGGCATTTCCAGAAGAATTAATGTTTTTATTCCAAAGTAATACTTAGAAATCCACTTGATCCCAGAAAGCATAAGAAGTAGGAATCAAACATTTCATAAGAAGAAAAAGGTCTCAAGGTCAAGATTACATCAGAATAAATAATTCTGTAACATGGGAATGGATATCAATCTAAAACTACACAATACCAATTAATATATCCAATTTGCTATATAACAACTGAACAAAAAACAAATTCAGGGAAATTTAAAGCTATCTTAAGCAACATATTGTTAAAATGTTTTATTAAATGCATATTTTTAACAGTGTCAAATTGCATAATCCATTACAATTTTATTTTTGTACATTTGTGAATGTTTCTATTATTTCCAAATTCTCAACTTTTGTGAAATGTTCATTTGTAACAACTGATAAGTACATGATAAGTCATGAAATTGCTTATTAAACTGAATATAATGATGTAATCGCTAATTATCATAATTTGGATGCTTTAATTTACTTGAATGTTTACTTGTATTACTTGTAAAAGGTTTTAAGGTTAAGTAACCTTAAAATGATTAAGAAGGTGTTACAGGAAAAATGCCACATTTATTAAAGAGTAACAGTTTTTACATCATGTATCATATAATATTATCATTAATGGTAATAAGTTTAAGAGTTATGAGGTTGGATACCAGCTGTCAGCATTAAATTTCTTCATTAGAGCTGAATGTAAATCTTTGCACGAAGTCCAAGAAGGAAATATGAATGAAAAACTACATATAATGTAGTTACTGGTCCTATGCAAAGAAAACAAACAAATATGACAATCAAATACATAAACTGTACAATGTGTTTATTATTATTACAAAATTCAAGAGATTACTTGTTTCTGTGACCTGGACCTTTAATCCCATATTTTTGGCACATTTTATACAGTTAAATGCAGTGGTATTATTCAACTTGGGCTCTTGTGTATAAACTTTTTAACCTTACTAATTTTAATTAACAATTCTTAAAAAAATGCATTTGAAATTAAAGCACCAAATTAAAACTAATGCTATAAACTACTGAGAAGCCAAAACAAGAAAACAGCAGAAGAAAGTATTTCTGGGATATTTCTGCTACTTACAAAAATAATCTTGCATACATAATCCATATGTAGTACACTCCTGTGTTTCCCTGTTCCATTGTTAAGAGTGCACCCGTTAAATTGTTAGCTTGGAGCCAATTTAATTTCATCGTCTTTATACTGTATATGGTGCAGTTAGGTGTTGAAACTGTTCTGCAATGCTGTAAGCTTAATTTATTAGCCATTTCAGAGAAAACTAGTGCAGAATATCCCTCCTCTTATTCTCTCTGGACTCTGAAGGTTTACAATTCAAATGAATCAACGGATCAAATTACGTGGACTAAAGAAACACTGAAGAGCAGTGTGTTAGAAACTGGACAAACACAAGTATTATGAATACTAAGGAGACGGGAAGGTGGGGGTAAAATTATCTGGAAGATTTTTTTAATTTTAAAACTATAATAATAGTTAATCTGCCTATTATCAGGAAAGAAAAGGTTGCAAATAATACAACCATAACCAGAGAGATAACATTGCAGATGTTCCTGCTAATACTGCGTACATTATGTAAAAAGGTCTAAAAGTAGTAGAAAAGCAGAACCAACTTTTTCTCTGTACAAGCTTAAAGTCAGGTTACCTCTGAGCCTGTATATCTGTTTAAAGAACCGACCTGAGAATTTGTATTGTTCAAAGAATTATTAAAAAAACTTTGACTCAAAGACTCACATAGCTTAATAAAAGCTCACACAACCACAATTAAATCAAAGGGTTTGTCCAACCAAACCAGAAACCAGCCTGAATAGACACTTATTTCCACAGCTGCTTTCACATCTTTACCTTAAACAACTTTCTGCAGAGCCAGGCTTCCAGCTACAGTGAAGAGGGAGCTTTGTCCCTTCAAACAATATTACACGTGCAGGCAGCCGATGTCATCTTACCTGCCCCTAAAATAACACTGTAATCTTTATTGTATTGCTTTGCTGGACATCAACCGTACCCCTTTCCGGTGTCAGCTGCCTTGACACACTTTATACATAATCACAAAACACTCAACTTTCAAATCTGCTCTCAAGAGAAGCCACTTTTGAGAATTACAACAGGGAGCTATTTTCTGAAATGTATTGAGCTGACACACTGTCAGCACTATTTTTTGTCTTTGGCTGCTTTTCAGTGTATTACAAAAGGAGCTTTGCTACTACTGGCAACCATATATACTGTAGCAAAAGAAGCTTCTTTGGTGTTCATTTTTTATAAGTTCTCCCAAAACTGCAGTGGTTCCACCAAAACTTCTACATGATTGAAATGTTTATTTCTCTAACAAACCTGCTTGTACAAAAATTAGGTTTTTGACAACAGAAAATGAAATACCAATCTTAACCACTAATGTAATTTTGTTATGATTTTAAATGTGCATGACTTATATAATTTGAATATTAAAAAAAAAATCTGTAGCCAAGACACGTGGTGATGTTGTTGGGGACATTCTTTACTGTTTCTCAAAATGATTATTCATTCTTTACCACAAAAAAACTTGAAATATTCTTGATTTCAAGGCAAAGGTAGCATCTGTCTAAGGCTTGGATGTCCTTCAGAGCTCAGATTTCCAATAGTCAACAAACAGCGCCACCTCGTGGTTATCCTTAAGATCAAAGTTTTAATACTTCCATTAAAAAAAATAATTCAAAACACAATTGTTTTATTTATTAGCATCTTAAGAGTACAAATGTTCCTAACTGATTGCCAAAGGTTTTCTAGTGATGTTTGGGGGGTTTCATGCATGTTTTTTGCCATATGTATGGACTGAAAGGAGCAGTATTTATTTGAACATTCCTTTGGACTTCCTTAAAGATTTTAACAACAAAAACTAATTATAAAGAGCAGAAGTAAAATCAAAGCAGCCTTGTAACTATAAAGTCTGCAGATAATACAAAGATCATACATTTGGGGTTAAGGATGTGTATCCATCAACATTTCCTATTGTATTTTCAGAAACTACTTTCATCACCATAAACAAACAAAATCACCCTAAAAAAACAAAACTCTTTTAAGCCCATTTTGAAAATCTGGTTTTGAAAAAATAGTGTGAGACAAAAATACTGTAATAAAAAAACAAAAGTAGGTATAAACGTGAGTCTTCAAAAACCCAAATTAATGATCTTGGCAAATGACATTAAACATATGGAGACAATTACAAGTATCAAGTAAAGTCTATAGGATTCATAATTATCCACTCTGATGCATTTCTGATAACACGGCACTATAAATTACAATGTGCAAAGAAATAAGTAATCTGAGCAACCTTTTTATCATTGCACCAGAATAAGTTAACTAGTTGAATGACAATTAAAGGTAATGTACAGTATTTAAGCAGAAGCCTGCCAAAACTACTACATTTTCAAATACGTTGTCTTGGGGGAAAAAAAAGGCTTTCAGGGTGGCAGTGCATTTTTCTGATAGGTTCTTATTCCTATCCCAAAGATACAAAGAGTGTTTTGTAAAGCTTTATCTTTCATTAACCTTGATGAAACTTGTTGAATTTGCATGGCTGGCAGAAATATTACAGATAATGTAACACTGCATCTAACCCTCTTTCGCGACTCATGTGGGAGGTAAAGAAAGTTATATCTATATAAAACAGAACTGCAGCAGTGTGGAGTAGTGAATAGGGCTTTGGACGGTTGTAGGTTCAGCCCCTAGGTGAGACACTATTGCACTCTTGAGTGATGTACCTCAACATAATTGTTCCAGTAGCCAGAATCTAATGTCACGTATGTAAAAGGGAAGCATAGCTGACAATATGTCCTACTCTTTAGGGGAGACGTTAAACTTTATCAAAAGAATCATGATTCAAAATTCAGGGGCTGCTTTGCATAACCCAAGAGTCCAGAAAAACTACTAAATACAGATCTTCAAAAACACTAAATGGAGCATACCAGTGACAGCAGCAAGATTTGAAATTAGGCCTTTAAAAACAGAACAGCAGTATTAGGAAGTTATCACTGGCAGTATGCAACCTAGCTCCTCTACGGGAACATTTTTTGCTTAAACTGAAATCATACTAGTTAATACTAATTAGAAAAATTACAATGAAGCAATTATGCCGCTGTATAACATTTTTAACAACTAAAATTTTAATAAAATCTGTTCTCAGAATAAAGATATTAGGGCTTGGCTTTTATATTTTAGTACATGTTGCACAGACCTATTCCAGAAACAAAAATCAAGAAACAAAAAACAGAGAATATGAATCAAAATGGTTAAAAAACTGATCCCTTGTGTTTTTGAACCTCACGTTTACACTGCACAAGTTCTTAGTTACACTTACTGGTCAACAGAGACCTAAAAAACTACTTAGTCCATTTACATATGTTACAGTATTACTCAGTTCCCTGTAGAATAATTCTTCAGACAGGTTTGTGAGGGACAATGGAATATTGTGCCCATATTGCTGCCCATAAACTGCTGGAGCCTCCCGTATAATTTATTCTTCCAAAGTATTCTGACAAAACCTGGAAGTCTCGTTACGATCACTTGGCCAGAAATGACAATGTGTTTGACTTAAGAAGTTACTTGTGAATCCACGCCATTTTTCCTACCTGAAAAAACACACACAATTAATATGAGTAGCACATTTTTCACAAAACACATCAACTTTGATTTTAAGGAGATACATTTCAAACAAAGCTATTTTAAGGTACTTGTATTGCACGTATCTGATCATAAATTCCTGTGAGGACAAGACGTATACAGTCTCTAGAAACTCAGTGATTTATCACAGCAGACTTGAATCACACTAAAGGATGGTTTAAAGTTTAGGCAGGTCTTACATGAGTTTACTATAAATACATTACAAAAAAGTAGGTGCTATCGGATTGCTCTACCATATAAATGAAGAAGATGAAGAACAAAAGATCAAGCACAGGATTACAGTACTAATTAGCAATGAATTCTATCAGGAGAGACACAGTGGCATGGCACAGCTCAATTCTGGCCTCTGGCCTCACTGTCTGTGTTGAGTTTGCATGTTTGCCCCATGGCTATGTGGATTTCATTCCACAGTACAAAGACATGCTTTCTTCGTGAACTTGTACTTTGTCCCCGACAGGCCTGTGAGAGTGTGTGTGTGTGTGCCCTGCAAAGGACTGGCGTCCCATCCACAGTGCATCCTTCCTTGCACACTCTATCAGCATTCTACAACTGTAGTACATGTAAAATCATAAATAATGTAGTGCTAAGGTTTCTTATCAGTTCTGTAAAATATCAGTGGTGTACTCTAGCAAAATCAGTAAAGTTCAAAGTAAATTAAAACATTTTTTCTTCCATAACTGAAATGGATGATAATTAAGTACACAAAACAAAAGCTGGGTATGCCTATATGTTACAAAGTGAATTGAGGGAAACTCAGAGCAGAAGATGATCTTCAACTGTTTTCACAGACGCAGACTATACATCCAATGATGGCTACAGTCCATTTAAAATAAAACTGACCAGAAATATACTAAGTCACAGTACTACAGATGTAAGATCTGGACTTACACGACAAGACGTGCAGTATGTTCTGAAGAGATCCTCCGGATGAGAAGAAAGCCCATATACCCATTACTACCATGATTATATATGCAGGCGGTAGACTCCCCTCATAAAATGGATTCAGGAATGTCTGGAAAAAAAAGGAAGAGTCCATATAACACTACCACAGCTTAAGCCCACTAATAAAATGTTGGTTTTAATAATTCAAGCACTAAAGAATGTTGTTCTTTAATTGGGATAGGAATATGAATTGCCATTTTTTATATCCATCAGTGTTTTTCATGTCTCAACTCGCAACTAAGAAAATGCCACAACTGCTCATGGAAAGAATGAGAAAGTGAGGACAGACTCCCCTAATCCACCCAAATTTGAGCCCACTGCTCTTTTAACATGTCACAGGTACTGGGTGTTCAGTGATGAATGGAGAGGACAGCGCTTAACTTCCTGACTCGCAGACAGCACTGCACATAGCAGTGCTCAGGCACTTCTGAGCTCAGAGATGGATAGTGGCACGATGGCGGCAGCAACCTGTTATTGTAGAGCTCAATCTGTGCTGGGGTAAATGATGGCGCTGGATTTAATTTAAAACAGACTCTTATCACAAATTGCTAAGTCTACAACAAAAAAGCTTTTCTTTCCTGCAATGTTAGCTTAATATTTAAGTAGAATAAGTAGGAGGCTTCAGACAGACAGACCAACATGGCAGACCTTGAAAAGCATTATCTTAGGCTAATATTAATACAACATTTAAGGATGCATTTAAATTTTTTTTTTTTTAAAAAAAGAACTGCCATAAATCATTAGTCAGAAAAACAGTATTGCACTGAGATGGGTTAAGGTCTTAAAAAGTAGATGAATAATTTCTAAATATATGATCATAAAGAAAAAGGAGCCAAACACTGGTATTCTGAAGGTTGTATTGCAGCAAATAAAAGGTAAAAAACAATTCAGTTTTAAGATAGTTCAAGTAGTTCATGTAGATACCTAAAGAAGGCTCCACAGCTGAAACATTGTGTTTCTTCTCTTCTCTATTCAGCATGGAATAAACCTTTACTTGTTCTTCTGTTTTAAGATAGCAGCTTGTGCTTTAAATTGGTTGGGTTTCTGTAACATCCACCATCCCCCCACTGGTCTCCCTCCAGAGGCTGTCTTACCAGTCCTGACACTAGCAGGTGCAGCGCCACCACCAGGGCGATGACCCACCACCTTCTCCTCTCGCAGCCGTCAAAGAACAGCACGCCCCAGAAAGTGTGCAACAAGGTCACCGCCAGCGTCATGAAGGCTACGGGGAGGACAGAGCACAAGGGACTGAACAAGGCTCCTCTGAAACCTGGAAGAGAATTTCACTTTCCCCCAGCTTCTCACTGTCCAGCCACCCACATGTGCCCTCCCCATCCCTCCTCCTTCAACCTGTTTGCCAACACATACAAGTACAGTATCATTAATGTCAAATGAAATACGCCTTCAAACACTTACGTGTAATTTTCATTAATAAGAGATTTTCACCATGTGAGGAAGCCAGTGTCAATGTCAGAAACAAAGCAAAGTAAACATAATTGTGTGAGGAAACTGTTGCCCTTTGAAGTTTGTACAGGAACAGTAGATTCTTTTTCATCTGATATCCAGTATGTTACTTGGTTTAAATCATAATTGATGGCAGGCAGAACCAAATTACCGTTTCCTTCAGTGAAACCTGTACTGTGTATCATTCTAAAACAGCTCTGTTCATGTCTGTTCACAGTACAGACAACTGCACAATGCCTGCCTCTGCATGACCTACTGTCCACAGAATTTGCCAGAGATTTGATCCTTTCAGGGCCAACTAGGTCATGATAAACACACGCAGGCCAAAATGCATCATCTGTGCAGGTGGCTGGAGCTGGTCAACATTTGTAATAACAATCCACATGTGCTCCACACCAATGTGTGCCTCTAAGAGGGGCAAGTGCTTTACATGCTGCCTACAATGTAGAAAGGACCTTGACAAACAAATGTGAAGACATGGGAATGACTGATGTCTATACAATTTAGGATGGTCTTCTTTACCCATCAGTAATTTTGCTGTCTAGACCTTCTATATCTCACCAATACACACATAGCCTTTAGATGCACAACTTCCTCTGGAAGCAGCAAGATACTAAGAAAGTTGCTTTCAAGTACAGTGAAATGTGGTTAAAAAACCACCTGAGTCTTGGTTTAAGAGTACTGATTATAATACCATAAAGACAAATATTACAATTTAAAATGCTAGAACAAGACAGAATGAAGAAAGACTTTTCATTACAGCGGAGGCAGAGCCGTTTTATTGTGAGTTTAGTAATAATTTTTATTGGTATTATGCAGTAATACTTCATATGCATCTGAAACAATAAGTAAGGAAAAGATTAAACGCAACTGTTAAACAACTAACACACAATGTATACTGATACAGATTAATTTAGTCAACGAGCGTTTCGCTTTGTTCTTGGGAGCCTTTTGACTTATCCATTTACCTGATAAAACCCAGTTCAAACATAAAATTACAGCAGACTATTATGAAAAGAACAGATCAGTTTCACTGAAGAAAAACACCTAGAAAAAGACCGAGAGAATGACCCGAAGTTACTATAACAGTGTAATGGCAGAAAATGTCCAGTATTGAAAAGCACCCCAATATGTTGGAAGAGAAATAAACAATTTTGAAATATAATTTAGTTGCAGAAAAAAAAAATCTAACGCATGTTGCAAATCAGATTCCATAAAATATCTGAATTGAAAGCAGCAGAATTGGTGTTTTAACAGGTGCAAAGCATTGGGATGGGTTGTGAACATGATCACTCTTGGGCTCTGTAGGGGAAAAATACATTTTAAAGGATCAACCTGTTACTGATGCTGAATGATTCGTTAAAAGCTCAGGAAGGCAACGCACCTGAAGTGATGAAGTAGTATTGGGAGTCCCCATGTATCCCCACAGTCCCCGGCCCTAGAGAGTCCGACAGGATATTGATCATGGAGAAGGCTCCACTCATGATCCCGAACCCCAGCCCAGCCACTGTAAAAGCAGTCAGAAGAAGAGCACATCACTTCAACTGTTACTAAAACTGTAGTTTTGATACTTTCAGATAAACTGGCTTCATTTAGGCTATTTCTTAGCTTCAAAGTCATCATCACATGTTGATAGAAGGAATGTGCACAATGATAAAACCTTAGGTTAAAGACATCACTTTTGTCATTTATTACCTAGTTATTAAATAAAAGTACATTTGATGAGTTATAAAAACAACAATTTATAAATGAAAAATTAAGTGTGACACTCTTGCATTTTAGATGCTTAAGTCTCAATTCCTTACGGACAGACAAATTGATTTTTTTTTCATTTCAGGTTTTACCTTTACAAGCAGTCAAAAATGGAAAAAGAAGTAGAATCTACACTTGATGTACTTTGGATTCATTAAAACACTTGACAACAAAGACTGCACCCACTGCAATAACAGACCATTAAAATGGTCATAAATCATTTATAATCTGTAGTTTGAAAATGGTCTGAGTATTTATTTTCTTTGTTTCAGGTAGATTTGCTACAGAAAAAACAATTGACAGGATTTAGACAGTATTTTCAGGATCGTCAATTTTTTTGATGAATTAAGAAGCTGTAGGTCAGAGGATCAAGCTTTCCCAAGACAAAAACACATAATAACTAAGTATTCATGTAGGTATGCATCACAAATTTAGTCCTGAAAACAAGAAATGTTTTTTTGGACTGATAATTGGATCAAAGTATAAAAAACGTTGCCACTGGATGTGAACACTACAGCATGAACCCTTCAAGAGAAACAAACTAAAACAACCTTATCAATAATTTCTATAAAATGTGTTCAAGACATTGGTGACACTTCCTCTCAGTGTTCTGACTGAGGAGAATTTAATTCCAAGGATCCCAAAGTGCTTCACAGATAGAAGAGGATTAACTTAATTCACCACTAGAGGGCAGCAGTGTTTAATGCTGCTGCCCCACTACACAATCAGATCAGGTGAATTGGGAAATCATTCATTTGATTTGATTAGGAGAAATGTAGGGAGGCCTGATTGTACAACTTTGGGCTTGCACAATGTCCAAGTGAAACTTGGCTGGGACCCTGGGGTTAAAACCTGAACTCTTTTGAACAGTGCAGTCAGGAAAAATCAGAGAACAAACAGATACATTAATTGACTGTTGACTGAAGGCAGCTATAAAGCTGTGAATGGACAAACATGTATAAACAGGGTCGTAATAGTGGATCTGCCATCAATGAAAGCTGAATGTTGGCTCAGCCCTGCCACTGACTTGACAAACAGCAATAGGACCCCTTCCTTGTTACTGGCATTTGAAAGATACATTTCTAAATTGTTACACAAGACAGTAGAGTAGTTTTACTTTTATTACAATTTCCATTTTTACATTTCCTTTGAAAAGGCACCACATAAGACTGTGTCTTGGTAACAGGCATCAACTACAGCCAAGTACTGTCCAGGAGGTTTAATTAAGATGGATATTGTACATAGCTTACAGTAGCAAAAAATATATTTTATTAATTTCTGTCAGCTGCAAGAGCCTTGTCCTGTCTTTATGCTGGATAGGTGGCTCTTTCCTGTGGCCCAGTATTGTCTAGCACAGGGTAACTAGAAGTACCAAATATTTAGACTAAGGAAAAACTTTAAAACACCTTAAGTTTATAAAGATATGCATATGCCACACAGTGGCAGACCCAGGTATATGCAATATACCACACACAATCCATTGAGGTTAATGCTATTTTTTTTTCTGAGAAGGAAGCATTGGAAAGCTTCATAGTCCAGTTGTTTTTGCCATAGATCACTACCGTTAACACATTAAGAATAATTAAGGGATTGACTAAACACTATGGTGTATACTCCTTGCGGTCAAACAGCTAACTTGAATTTACTAGATAAAAATTTGCTCACAATGCGACTGCAGAGTAAATCAAGCCTGTTTTTTTTTTGCTGTTAAGAACAATTTCCTCACTACTGATTTCACTGCAAAATATTGCTTAACTGTCTGTACCAAACCTATTGGAATTATTTCAGCTCTTGAGAAATGAGCATTTGGCCCATCTATTCATTACGTTTGTCTGTAAGTAATTGAGGATCTCTTCCAATTGTTTTTTGAAAGAAACCAGGATTTCCACTTCAGCAACATGACTGGAAGCTTGTTCCATACTCCCATAATACTTTACTTGAATAAGTGTCTCCTGTGAGATTTAAATGTATGTCCCCTGTTTCTATTTGTAATCACTAGTTCATGTTTCACTTTTGACAATGAAGAGCTGCACAGGGTTTACTCTGGCAGTGCCTTTGAGAATTTTAAAAACTTGTGTCAGATTCCTTCACCATTCAAAACTAAAAAGGTTCAAGTTTTTTAAAAGTTATGTCAACATTAAAACCATATGTAGCCTTTTTAAGCTCTGAATTGTCCATTTTGTTTATAGTTTGTTTTTACTGCATTTGCATGCATTACCCTGCACTTGTCTACATTAAACAATCTTCCAGGTTGTGCAGTCTATTTTCTAATTTATTTTAAGTTAAGTTTACTGTTAAGTTTACTATTATAAGTTTTACTGCTTCTACAGTTAACCTTTCTAATTTAGCATCACCTGCAAATGTGACTAGTTTACTTATTTAACCAGAATACAGATCATTGACATAGATTATAAGAACAGTGGTCCGATTTTAGATCACAGTGCTTCACACCTAATTACATCACAAGAGTCTGAGCATTCTTCCCTTATCTGTACTCCCTTCTATCAACCAATTTTAATCCAAAATACACACATTTCCCCAAATGCCTGAAGCCTGTGATTTGAGAATTAATATTTTATAAGGAAGTTTAACAATTGTGGCTATTACTGTTGTTGCTTGCTTAAATAACTACAGTTATTTGAATCTGAAATAAATCTAAGTTTGTTATGCAAGACCTATTATTTCTAAAGTCATGCTGATGTAACAGTTGAGGCTTATGATGCAACAATTTGAAGTCACTAAAATGAATCAAAAACCATCTCTATAAATCAGACAAAAGAAGGGGAAAACTCGACTCTGAAATGTACAAATGTATAGATTTTAAATTCACATCAAATACTTTAGTCAGAATAAAGGTTTAACAAATATGCACAAATATGTACTGTGCCAGAGGCTCCTAAGGGCTAACCCCAGAGGAGTCCTCAGAAACTAGCTGCTGGAAGAAATTACAAAGTTACAGCTAAACCGCTTCTCCAGGGTGATATGCCACTGTCTAAAAAAAAGCAGGATTGTGCACACGATTAAAGAAAAATTCAATAAGGCAAGTATTATTGAACACACTCTTCACACTTTGAAATCAGCATAACAATTGCATTGCTTTAGAACTAAGGAGAAACATGTTTCTTATGTTATCTATAATGTTCATGACATCTGCAGTAATTAAATGGCCCTTTGAGGAGCGATAAGTAAATAATCAGTGTGAAAAGTATAAGGAGATAAAATGTTTGTATGTGATAATTCAAGAATCTAATAATAATAATAATAATAATAATAATAATAATAATAATAATGTTTCTGTCAAGAAAGAAGCCACTACTGATAGAATTTGCAACAAAGAATGTAAATGGTACCGCAGATGTGGCAGAAAGCTTTGTGGGAAGACCAGAGATGAACTTTTTATTCCAAACACAACACCTGGCACAAATCCAACATTATGCATCACCCTGTCAACACCCTCCCAACATGAAAGCATGGTGGTAGCAGCATCATGTTAATGGGGTGCTTTTCATTCACAGTGTCTGGGAAGATTGTCAGGTTTGATGGAACAATGGATGGTGCAAAATACAGGTAAATACTACAGGCAAACCTAGAAGATTAGGCACAAATTGTATCAAGCCAGTGTACAATGTTAGTAGAGATTTGCTCATGAGGTAATAAAGAGTTACCAGCGAGCTACAAGGTTTGCAGTTCAGTAGTCACACAAGGCCTCAAGGTTCTGGGAGTACTCCTTGGTACATCTGGTATGCAACACTAGCACCTTGTTTTCCTTATTTCTTGTCCTTGTACTTCTGCTCCCGCTCTGTTGCTTAGAAACACGAGTGATAATGATTCACCCCAACCTGCTTACAATATAATATATAAGCTAGAAAGACCCACTGTAATTTGAGCTTCTCTTGCTAACCCGCTAAGTGTTTGCTCGTTGTGTACACAACAAAGACTCCTTTCTCTGACCGAACCCAAGTTAAGTTTCTGATTATGATTCTTATGATTCTTCTCGGACATATTCAATCTCTCTTTAGCTCAGTCTATAGTTCCTTGCTGCTTTAAGAAAACCACCATTGTCCCTATTCCTAAGAAACCCAGAGTCAGCTGCCTGAATGACTACCGCCCTGTTGCACTCACATTAGTTATCATGAAGTGCTTCGAGTGGTTGGTCAAAGCATACATCACCTCCTCACTGCCTGACACCCTAGACCCACTGCAATTTGCGTGTTGCCAGATCAGGTCAACAGAAGATGCTATTGCCACTGCCCTCCATACTGCCCTCTCACACCTGGATAAGAGAGGAACATATGTGAGAATTCTGTTTGTTGATTACAGCTCAGCATTCAATACCATAGTGCCCTCAAAGCTTGTCATCAAGCTCCAGGACCTGGGACTGAACACCTCCCTCTGTAATTGGATCCTGGACTTCTTGACGGAACGTCCGCAGGTGGTGAGGGTGGGCACCAACATATCCTTTACCCTGACTCTAAATACTGGAGCCCCCCAAGACTGTGTGCTTAGCCCTGACCTCTACTCCTTATTTATCCATGATTGTGTCACCAGGCATAACTCAAACTCCATCATTAAGTTTGTGGACAATATAACAGTCATCGGCCTGATCACAGATGGTTAAGAGTCTGCGTACAGGGAGGAGGTTGAAACCCTGGCAGCATGGTGCCAGCAGAACAACCTCTCTCTGAACATCAGTAAGACTAAGGAGATGATTTTGGACTATAGGAAACACCAGGGAGGAGATCACACACCTATCTAAATCAATGGGACTGCGGTGGAGAGGGTCAGCAGTTTTAAGTTCCTGGGAGTTAACATCTCGGAGGACTTAACCTGGACCCACCACACCAACACCGTGGTCAAAACAGCACGGCAGCGCCTGTTCTTTCTCCGTAGGCTAAAGACCCTTGACTTGCCGTCACATATCCAGGCCAACTTCTACAGGTGCACTATTGAGAGCATCCTGACTGGTTGCATCACTGCCTGGTATGGGAGCTGCTCTGTCCGGGATCGCAAAGTACTGCAGAGGGTGGTGAAGTCAGCGCAGCTCATTACCGGCTGTGAGCTACCAAACATCCAGGATATCTACTCAGCCAGATGCCTTAAGAAGGCCAGGTCCATTCTCAAGGACCCCAGTCATCCCAGTCACAAGCTGTTTCCCTCCTGTCGTCTGGTAAACGGTACCAAAGCGTTCAGTCAAAGTCCAACAGACTACGGAACAGCTTCTACCTCCAGGCAATAAGACTGGTAAACAGCCAACCTGCAGCTCCTTTAGCAAATCACCCGTAATGGCTATATGGACGTGCAGTTTTCATTGTATTCAGGATACTGCACTACTTGGACATAATATATTGCATACACCATGCACAATATTCATATTGAGTTTTATTCAATTTCTATTACATTATTACTATTATTATGTAACCTTATTTTCGTAACCTTAATTTTGTGATTTTTGTGAGCTCGCAGAAAAAACATTTCATTGCCAGCAACTACTGCTGCATGCTGCATTTTTGTGCATTTGATAAATACACTTTGATTTGATTTGATTCAACACCCAAAAAGACTTAGGCTGCAATTGGTACCAAGGGTACTCCCACCAAATTGAGTTCATGGGTCTGAATACTTATCCAATTAACATATTTCATTTTTTTCTCTTCAATTTTGTCTGACATTTACTATAAGCTATCTAAATCTTATCAGTCAACAATTTGAGCATTCAGATTTCAAATAAAATATTGTTTAAAATGTGCACATATCTAAAATTTCATAAAATAGGAGACCATAGTGTACTGAGACATGTTATACTCCCCTCCTCTAAATACAGCCATACTTAGCCAGTTGAATAGGCATCATTTAGTAATTTGACAAAATGGGACACCATTGGTATAGTCTGATAATTGGTATATAATTCTGCAAGGCATTGTAGCTACTAGCAACCAAATGAGGCAGCTGGACTAAATAGCTAACTCTCATTTATAGTAAAGGCTCTTTAAATAAACTTTCAAGGCACTTGGGTCACAAGGACCTGTATTGGAAAGCCTGCTTTTACAATGTTTAATGAAAATACAATACTCTTTTCTGTCTTTTTAGTATGCTTATTAAGAGTGGGAACATTAAGTGAAAAACTACTTTTTGTTGTTGTCAGAACACTAGCATCATTGTTAAATTTACATGATTGTATAAGACTCTGTTATTGAATTCTGGTCAGGAAGGACTCGAGTGATCTGGGTCTATTTAAAGCAATAGAACCTGAAAAGTTGAGAGAACCTGTTCAAACGGTCCAATTAAGCGAATCATTAAATGATCAAGAACTAATTAAAAACTAAGTTGGAATGAAAACCTCAAGACACACAAGTTTGCCAGATACATACCCCTGGATGCTATTAAAAATGTAAATACCTTAAAATGCAAACAAATTTCACTGGGTTTGAACAAGCTACATGAAGCAAAGAAAGTACACAATTACTGCTATACACAGTCTTACACTTGTAGCAGCAACGGCTTAAAAATCCAGGTGAATTTAAGATGTTCATAAATAAACTCTAAAAAGCAAAACTTACAGAGAGAAACATAGGATCTGAGTATACAAAATCTGCAAAGGGTATGTATACAACTATTTTAGGTTGCAATATTATTTTTGTAAAAAATGTTTTCAAAGGTTATGGGATTTGTACAGTAATGGAAACTCCAAAGAGACATTTGTTTCTTAAAGTCAATAAGTTCAAAAGCTAGATATTTACAGAAACAGAAAAAAAATATTGAACATTTATTGACTATGTTTTATATTTTATATATATATATATGCATTAGAAAATAAAAAAACATATTTCATACCATAAGCCATTTGCTGGACTGATATAGGTGAGTGCTCATCTTCACTGAGTGCTGCCAGTCCTTCATTGGCTTTTCTGCAGGTAAAAAAACACAAGAGTTTTTAACAGATAAAAGTTGTCTGAACACATTCCAACAGTCAGAACAGTTTGAGTAGTCAGAGCAGTCATTAGTTTCCTTAAACAGCAGCTGAATGAAATAGATATTAAAAACCTCTGTAATACTACCAGCATGATTATTTTAAAATGTGAATTTCCAGTAAAGGGCAGCATGGTGGCACATTGGTTAGCACTGTTGCCTCTCAGCGCTAGAGCCCAGGTTTCAATTCTGGACCTGGAGTGCTATCTGTGTGGAGTTTGCATGTTCTCCCCTGGTTCACGTGGATTTCCTCTGGACGCTTCCTCCAAGAGTCCAAAAACATACTGTTACGTTAACTGGTATCCATAACAACTGGCCCTGGTGTGCATATTGAGGTTTGCAAGCTGACTCTTTGCCAGCAACCATATCAACCTGCAACTCACAACTGGCAACCCACTGAAGCTAAACAGGTGTGAGCCTGGTCAGTACCTGGATGGGAGACCGCCTGGGAAAAACTAAGGTTGCTGCTGGAAGAGGTTAGTGGGGCCAGCAGGGGGCTCTCACCCTGCGGTCCATGTGGGTCCTAATGCCCCAGTATAGTGATGGGGACACTGTTCTGTAAACAGGCGCCATCCTTCTGTTGAGACGTAAAACCGAGGTCCTGACTCTCCGTGGTCATTAAAAATCCCAGGGGTGTTTCTCGAAAAGAGCAGGGGTGTAACCCCGGCGTCCTGGCCAAATTTCCATTGGCCCTTACCAATCATGGCCTCCTAATAATCCCCCTCTATGAATTGGCTTCATTACTCTGCTCTCCTCCCCACTGATAGCTGATGTGTGGTGAGCGTTCTGGCGCACTATGGCTGCCATCACATCATCCAGGTTGATGCTGCACATTGGTGGTGGTGGAGGGGAGTCCCCATTACCTGTAAAGCGCTTTGAGTGGAGTGTCCAGAAAAGCGCTATATAAGTGTAAGTAATTATTATTATTATTAATATTATATGTCTGTGTTTGTGTCTTGTCTGCCCTGCGATGGACTGGCATCCCATCCAGGATATACCCTGCCTGGTGCCCGCTGCTTGCTGAGATAGGCTCCTGTTCCCCCACCAACATGAATTGGAAAATCGGTTAGAAAATGGATAGATGGATTTCTGGTAAAGACGTGTAAGTGAAGTAACCAGGTGATGACATTTACTTGACTCTCTGCATTGCACAAGTGGCAGAGTGCCTCTGGGATAGGCTTAGAACCTGCAGGCGTGCAGTGATGTTGGTGAGCAATTGGAGCCTCACTCAGTCCCAAGTGGTACAGGAGTAGTTTTCTGAAAGCTGAGTCTTAAAACAAATCGGCAGTTCAAATAAGATGGGTAGAGTGGTGGATCCCATTTAGCTAATTACATGACTTTGAAAGACAATTGGTTGCACCAGAGCCTATTTAGACTTATACTTATTAATACTTATTCAGTCTGCCATTTTATTTTTTATATTATATTTAATTTATGAGGATTTGCAGATGTTTGTTTTCATTTTGACATTATGCAGTGTTTTGCGTTGATCAATGGTAAAAAAATCACAAATACATAATGATTCCATACTGTAACACAATACATTTTCAAAAATTACAAGGTGAATGAACTGTATATACAGTAATTAAAAGCAATTTGCCATTCCTGTGGGTTTGTTATTGAAGACAATATTCTCTTATTACATTTTTACTATAATATTTTTACAAAAAGGCATTTTTACCATATATCTTACCAAATAAATTAAGAAAAGTACAAAGGATTCAATCTAATCTCTATTTAGTGGAAAGGCTAACAAAGAGGAATTTAATTTGTGCCTCAGTCACTGAAAAGTGCTCCAGGCATCTATACTCTACTGACAATACTGCTTTCACAAAGCAAGGGCTACTACCAACAGATGTTGCTCAGAAAATCCCCCCTTCAATAGTATTAGTTTCATTTCATGGGTGACCAGGAATGAAAAAGTCTGCAGGAGCTTCTGACATAGGAGCTCTATTTTGGCTTTTATCTCTTTCCTACCTTCTGTTAGTTATTCAAGATGACAAGTTACCTTTTAGCAACAGAAATCTACAAGTGGTTACAATAATTTGCCACCCCAAAGCTCCACGCATCTATACTCCACTAACAATAATGCTTTAACAAAGCAAGGGCTATTACCAACAGATGTTGCTAAGAAAATCCCCCTTCAATAGTATTAGTTTCACTTCATGGGTGCTCAGGAATGAAAAAGTCTGCAAGAGCTTCTGACATAGGAGCTCTGTTTTGTCTCTCGTCTCTTCCCTACCTTCTGTTAGTTTTTCAAGATGCCAAGATGCCAGAAATATACAGGTGGTTATAATAATTCTTCACCCCCAAGCTGAAAATCACTCCAACAGGCCACTTTAAAGAGCTATTAAAGCTATAAATGTACAATTAAATAATGGTCCTGCACTATTTACTTGTCAGGATCCCCAAATAACAATCTGATTTAGTTGTTTTCCAAACATTTGCATTCTGAAGGTGCATTAAATGATTAATAAATGTGGGGATCCTGAAAAGTAAATAATTTTAAAATAAATTATTAAGATTATACCCCTTAATCCCTTAACATCTATTACTCATTGGACATTACTGAAAACATGTCACTCTCTTTACTCTTGTTGAGCTGACTGTTCTCTGCATTTCATACATTGAAAAAAGAACCATACATGGAAAAAAGAAGGAATGGGGAGTAATAAAGATCACAACCAGTTGTCAAGTTCCTTCTAAAAGCTGCTTTTCTTGTTCAGAAAACATACTCCACAAGACAGATGCACAAGTGTTATCGCACACATCCAGAGTATTTTTAAACTATCTGCATTTCTTATGTCACTTTTTTCCTTGCTTGATTAAACATTATGTAATTATGTTGTGCATGAGGAGCTGGATACTTACCTGGCTTAATGACAACGAGACAAGGTCTTACAATAACCTTTCTCTTCCCAAACTATCAACAGTGATATAAATAAGATGCCTGCTGGAATGTTTTACTATACATATAAAAAACACCTTTTTATTTTCCAGTTCATGTCTGACAGCATTGATGGTACAACTGCATAGCTTTTGCACTGTACAACAAAATGAAATTATAACTTCTAGTTTTACTGTTGTTACTACAGGGTTTGGAAGGAGTCCTCCTTGAATGTCAGAGGCTGAAAGCTCCGCACTTCGCATTCAAATAAACTCAGACGACTTTTTATGCCTGGAGATCTTTAATCTTTAACAGGGTCATTCAATTATTCAAAAGCTCACACCTGAAAAAGGTGTTTTATTTCTTCTCTTTTCAGCATGGAATAAACCTATTACTTGTTTCTTTGCAGCCAATGCGTGCTGACGCAACTACCCACCTGAACTACTTCAACCTACATCTGCTGCGACCCACTATGCCTTCCTCCAAATCTTTTTCTAGATCTCTTTGTCATTCCTTCTCTTCTTCCCTGGGTCACTTGTCCCCCTCTCTTACTAAACTAGCTTTCCATCTCTTCACAGCGATCTGTTCCAGGACCAGGCTTTCTAATCACCTTCTATACCTTTACAGATTTCATTGACACAATATCATTCCTAAAGGATTTCACCCGAAATGTAATAGTTTTTCTTTTGACTCTGATACCACCCAGAATAACACTCAGAAAGCTCACACCTGAAGAAGGCTCCACGGCCAAAATGTTGTGTCTCTTTTCAGCATGGAATAAATCTTTACTTGCTCCTTTACAGCCTATGCATGCTGACGCAGCTATCCACCTGAACTACTTCAAATTATTAGTTGAGATAATATTTAGTAAATTTAAAACAATTAAATTCCACATTTCATCTCATTGTAAAGCAGGATGAAATTAACAAAAGGCTTTAGCTTCTTGTTTTTATTATATACTTACTGTATGTCAGCAGCAAAAACAAAGCAGTATGAATTGAGGAAATTGTGTCTGGGACAACAGACCAAAGATATGTCTCGAATTGAGTGATTAAGGAAGCAGACAATAAAAAACTGGGGAGCATGTGGATCAGTAAAAACATTAAAGAAAATCTGTCACAAGAAAGTTTGAGTTTTGCTAGCTCTGGAACAAATGGATTACAGTTATGTTGAAATTCCTGTACACAGAATAACAGGGGATGCAAAATTTTAGAGACTGGTCAAACTGGATAGATTTTATAAAGTACTTCTGACTTAATATCCTCACATTGGAAAGAATAAAGCAACTTGGCATTTTCTAGATTACAATTTAAATGAAAATCCTATATTTAAAAAAATATGGAGAGCCATAAGTACATTTCAAGGCAGTATGTATCCGAACGTTTTACATGATTGAAACGTTTATTGATACGATTCAATCATTATGATTAACACCTCTTGGCATCCCGGAATACTAAAGTGACATTGGTTGCATTTCCTCTATAAAACCTAAATACAGTAATAAAAACACTGACACCTTGCCAGTGTCAAAACATGACAGCCCACAGGCTTAGCAAATCTGACGGTTTTGCAGCATCAACAACGACCTGTCTGGGATTTTAAGCCTTGAAAAAATATAGAAATCTGAACTCACCTCAGCAGCTTGTAGTAGGCAAATCGAAACACCTCCTGCAGGATCACAGAAAACATCACCCCAAAAATGAGGAGCCCCCTCTGCAACTGGTAGTCCTGGCCACCAGTGGCTTTCATGGCAATAAACCACACCAGTGAAGAAAGCAGCAGGGACAGCAGCCAGAAGAAAGCTCTGCAGGACAGAAGCAAGTGAGAGGCAGTGAGAAGAGACTTGTAATATTCTGGAACAGAAGAGCTGTATTCATGCAGCCAAGAGGTCATATCACAAGGCAAATGCAAATTCAAAATCCATAGACAACAAATGGAATGAAACAAAAGTCCTCTGCATTGAAAAAAAAATCTTTAGTTTTGATTTTGTCCCAATGCTTGTTTTTCTGAAGAGGAGTACAGTCTTGAAAATACAAATAGTGCTTCACATTTCATCCATATTAAGATATTAATTTCTGTCAGAGCAATAAAAACTCAACTTTACAAGGTATTAGCTTTTTTTGAGCAACACTTGACCTGTAACTTGACCTGACTGACCTATAATACTAGTCAGAACACGCACAAGCCAGACAAATATTTGTGACAATTTGACTCAGTGTGGAATTACAGGAGAGGTGATCAACCAGGAGAGGCTTTATAGAAGAACTTAAACCCTTCAATGACTAAGCAGCACGAAAGAAAGCTCTAACTTAAGGCAATTTAGACAATGAGTCAATCCTGAGACCAAAATTGTTTATCTCAGGATGAAACAAAAACTAGAAGACCTTGCTCTTCTGTCTCAGACCAGACCTGTTTTAAGTGGAACTCAAAACGAAAGTAGTCAGAGAACATATTACCTTTATTTAGACTTATGATAACACAAAAGCCATTATTACTAGTGACCTGTATAAGTAGAAATGTGCACCAGAACACTGGACAGTCACAAGGAAAGTGTTTCGGAAGGCCCTTCAGTACATACATTTATTAATGCAACCTTTAGGGTTCATATTGTGTTTAGTTTAATTAGGAATGGAATAAATACAAATTTAGAAACTACAAACCTAATACTTGAAGGTGGATTGCACGCGAAAAGCAGCAAACAAAGTAAGGTTTTGAGGGACAGGTTAATCTTTTAATCAATTAAAGATTGATAATAAAAAAATCAGTCTGGACTTAAAACAGTAAACTAAGTATGCCTGAATTCAAAGCCTAACTCCAAAAATCTCCAAAAAAGCAGGCACATCAGGGATAAATAAAATAAAAATGTTAATGTGAATAAAGGAAACGGTTAATTGAATGAAATACCGTTTTCTTTGTGGAGTGCAGCCGGAAAGACTACTCTAAAAGTGAATTACCAGGAAGCATAAAGCACTTTTTTTTGCCAACACAGTAAACTCATGATTAAGGTGTGATATCAAAGACAAATATACAAGGGTGTTTCCATTTCTCCACAAAATGCAATAACCCAGAGGGTTATGAACAACTACTTTTAACATGTCTAAACATGAAGCATCAAGGTATTAGTTGTTTTCAAAACTCTATAAGGCTGTTTATATTGCAGCAAAGGACACATTCTCTCATTTTCCTACCCACTGTACACTATGGGCCATATCTGCAATAAAATGATCCTTGAGAGAAACTCTTCATGGTGTGAATATACAGCCACAAAGAAAACCTTAAATAAGATCAAAGTGTTAAAAAATTACAATTCAAAGGCACTTTAAATTATATAAAGCCACAAATAAGAGACTAATTATAATTAATTTAATATGAATAGCAGCAACATAAATGCAATACAATTTAACTTAAGACTGAGTAATTAATTACCACAACTGAGAAACAGATTTTGTATTGCAAAACAGAAAACAATATATGCAAATGAGAGAAGACACTTATACAATATAAGATCACTACAATCACAAGATGGGGTTCCTAAAATTCTGGCACCTGCATCTAAGTCAAAATCCTTAAAAGCTTTTAGTATAACAGAATGTTCATATGGTGTGGTACTAAAATGTTCCACAATTACAATTAGATGGATTAGTGCCCATCTCATTTCTATGTTCCTGTTTGACAAATTCATTTATTTTACAACAGCACAATTCCAGAAAATTGTTTCTCAAATGCACTGATAAAAACATCCCCTAAAATTCAAAAACAAAACTGATATTGTCTATCCAGTCCAGGCTATAACTGAAGTTAGGCTTAGCTTCTGCCTCCATACATTTCTTATCTCTTGGCTCCAAAGGACCAAAGTACAGCACATTCACTAGGCCACAGCCTAAAGTGCTAATGATCTTAATCCTAGTTAACCCTGAATAAAGACTGACCAGATTGTTGGATGGGCAAATTATTTTTTCATATTCTTCCAAATATAGGCTTTCCAAGATCTAGATGACTCTACTGTCAGTAAACAGTAACACATTATACTTTGAGCTAACTGCAGTCATAGTACCACTGAAAAAAACCCCGGTGAGCCTCTAGATTATGGGTCCCAAATCCTGGTCCTGTACAGTACATACCCAGTTATTGTTTTAGGTCACCTGTTTTTAAAGACTAGCAACACCTGGATGATACTTATTAACCATCAAGTAATGTGATCAATTAAGAGAACTCTGGTCCTTACGTGCTAAATAGTACTTAGAATTTAGTCCTAAATGATCTTTACAATAGTTACCTCACCTGTTTCACTGTTCACAATGGAACTGTTTCATATCTTTAGTAGTTTTTGATTTAATGGAGAACTACAAAATCTGTGTGACTGGGGCTCTCCAGGAACAGGGCTAAAGATTCACCACTCTACCTTAAACAACTGGGAGGGACCAGCACACAGTTTTATGACTGGGAAAGGTCTGCATCATATTATTCTTCCCGATCGACTTAAACCTGCCAATTTTCCCAACAGGATGTGATCAGCTACCACGATGCTAGTTACATCATATACTAGTACACTGAAAAAGTAGGATACTGCCACACTTCCAAAAAAAGAAGCATGCAGTCTCATATGAGTGGTACAATAAAATGGCCCTAAATATTTTTGCAAAAGACCGTACTGGCAATGAGAAGAGAAACCAGAAGCTGCAAATATGGATGTGACACTTTCCCATGTTCTAACAGACATCAGATGTTCAGTCTGTGCCACTGTACCAAAGTATGTGTTATAATGTGCATTTCATCCAGGACAGGCTTTAATGGATCATAGATGGTGGCTGTGCTGAGCTACAGAATTGCCCAACATGGGGATTCCTTGTGGAGAAATCATAAGGCCACAATACCAAATGGATTCCAGCCCCCAAGGTGCACAGCAATTGAACTACAAAATATTCACCCAGTGGTCTGCAAGGGTGCGGTAACGTTTACTTGAAACAATAACATTTTCCTGGAGGGGCTGCTGCCTATCAATGTTAGTAGCCATCTGTCTAAAGAGTACAGTATTTTTTTTTAATAGAAAATGATGTCCCTGCTTAAGGCAGAAAGAATAAAAAATCAGGGCATCACAACTTCCCCAGGGCTTCACCAGTCTAAAGAAGTAAACCCCATTGATCATATATGGGCTGTACCAGGGACAGGAACACCATTTACAACTAATGAGCACATGGCTGTTTTATGTAATGCAAAGGGCAGGGCGAACCTCAAATTGTAATGCCCATGTTTTGCCAGTACTTTGTTTTGTTTCAAATATATTTTGATCAAGTCTGCAAGAAATCTATACTTTTTTTTTACAAAAGTGTTTTTATTCTGGGCATCGTTTTAGTAAGCTTTTAAAAAAACCCTGATCTTTTAGCTTGTGCAGCTATATGATTCAACAGGTGATGCCAAGAATGATGTCTGATGTTGAACCTGCAGAATGCCCACTGACACAGGTTGACATAAGATGTCATTTTAACAAGTTGTTCATCCTGAAATTGAAAATGTGATCCTATATGAAGTTCCGAAAGTCACCATACCTCAGTAGATACATGATAAACATCATCCAGGTGGATGCTGCACATTGGTGGTAGTGGAGGGGAGACCCCATTACCTGTAAAGCGCTTTGAGTGGAGTGTCCAGAAAAGCGCTGTATAAGTGTAAACAATTATTAATTATACGTGCAAAACATTTGTGATGGTACTTAAAACTAGCTACTACCCACTAGGTTGCAGTAAATGAAGCTAAATAGTACACAAGACAGAACCTGCTGACACATAAATGTACAATGTGGTGGCTCTGTGGCTAAGGATCTGCGCCCGTGGCTGGAAGGTTGCCGGTTCGAATCCTGTAGGCGGCAGAGAAATCCTACTTTGTTGGGCCCCTGGGCAAAGCCTTTAACCCCAACTGCTCCATGGGTGCTGTATAAATGGCTGACCCTGTGCTCTGACCCCAAGCTTCTCTCTCCCTGTCTGTGTGTCTCATGGAGTGCAAGTTGTGGTATGCGCTCCATGAGACACATGATGTGTATATGGCCAAAGTGATCTTCTCTTACCTATGTACTACATTTAGCCAAAAAGGAGAACTAGAACATTGAAAACGACATCATTTATAACATACAAACCAAAAGGTTTTCAATTATTCTGGCTAGTACCTAGTAGTAAAATCTTATTTTGCGAATATACTAATAACTCGTTTACTACAAGTTTCTTACTTGAGATGATACAAAACTGTATTAAAGACATATGCCTTTGTTTCACGTGATGAATGTCTGGAAACCCATATGACAATGAATTGTCTCGTTATGAGAAAGAAACTAAGAATATGTCATTTTAAATTCAAATTGTCCGTAACAGACATACTTATAATATAGTTATGTATGTTGTTCAATTAACTATTCTAGCAGGATAATCGCAATAACCCCGAGCTACCAAGAAAATTACGTTTGCTGATTGTCTCTAGGATCAGATCGCGTCACGCTAATTAGATTATTTATTTCAGCACACCGGGACCATACTTCATAAATACAGCAGAATCACATATACTGTAGTCATAGCCAATACATTTGAACACGTATCGACTTCAATAAATCAATTTTATCGAGGCTTTTCTTTTCAGCGCATGTGAGTCCGCACAACCACAGCTGAAGTTCACTCACCCTGCAATCAGAATGATAACTCGGAGAGGGTCCCTGGCGATAGTGAAAATAAAAAGGGCGAAGGCTGGCCCAAAGGCGATAAATGTACACCCGAAAAACACAGCAACAGTCATTGCTATCTAACTACCATTTACAGACTTTGTGAAATCTAAAAAGAAAAATCAAATCAAAAGAGTACTTAATCGCATGTTAAAACGCATAAGTAATTTTAGCGTTTAAAAAGTGGTAAACGTTTTTTTTATCCGTCTTCGTTATTTAGAGCATTAAAAGGTCTCGGTGGAGGCATAAATGCAAAATTAAGTGTATGAGTTGAAGAAATCTCTGTATATACGCTAGTTCCAGTTCATATCCCTCAGTTATCCCCGCACAACCTGTTACTGTGAAGACTGCAGGAACAATGGACCTTCGCGAATCTCTTAACAATCCGCTCGCTGTCCACAGCTCATTCGCATCTGCTTTTTGGTTTCTTGTGCTTTGCTCATAATTTACTCGTTTCTGCTTCTCCTTTTGTTGCAGAGCCACTCACGCTAGGGATTTTGTTTGTTTCAAGTTATTTTCCTTTCCCTTCCGGGTTTGTCACTGTTGCTACCTCATATCCAGGGCTGCAGATCCGCTTAAAGGGACCACGCACATTTGTTCTTGTATCAAGGTATTAGCAGGTTAGGAGGAAAATTGCTCTGAATGGGAACTCAAGAGTACATTACCATTAACGCAGAACTCCATCAAACATGGTTATTTATTTACATTTATTCTATAAATTAACCATTTAAACGTTGCTATATTGAATTGAACAATACCTCAGTCTTGCATGGAATAAGAGCAAATAAATTCGTGTAAAGCGTGTTATTTTATTTTACCGTTACTTATTGTATAGTATTAGGAATAATATGTCACTCTATTCATATTCATCCCACGCCCAAATACAGTAGCAAGTCTCAAAATGTTATCATCTTCTTTTAAATTTGTATCCTTAAAATGGATAGTGCAGTATGTATGTCCATATGTTTATTTATATTTTCAAAAAGATATTCACACACTTAAACAGGTTAAAAATAGGGAACAATTCGTAAAATAAGCAAAACTCTTTATGATTATTTCATATAAAATATTCTGTTGAAATGTTCTTCTGAATGAGCAATGATTAAGGCATAACTATGGTAAGAGGGTTTGGCTTAGGTTAGTGTTTGAATTCAGACATTCTTTAAAGAGCTTATGATACCTTCCACTCATTTGAATGGAAAATATATACTTCACTTAATATATTAAAATCAAAATATTAGTCTGAACTAACTTCATAACCTAAAAAACAAACAAACAAAATGTATAAAGAGTGGACAAATTAAAATTCTTTCTTTTGCTTTAAAATCTTGTGTTGAATGGTCTTCTCAATGAGCAAAGATTCACAATTAACTGTGATAAGAGGCAGGAAAACCTAATCATTTTTGGATTTATTTTTTTATATGCCTGTGATTTCAATGTCATATGCGAGACAGGCAGTGTATACAGCCATATAGGTCAGAAAAAAAATGTTTAGAAAACGTTGAAAGAACTATTTTCGTAAGTATCCTTTCAGCCCTAAAACACAGCCATGTCATCAAAAACTGTCTACATTGTATGGGAATAAAACCCTAACCCTAGCTTCGGGTTTTGCTAGTTAGGGTTAGGGTTCAAATATAGCTCAAAGAGAATTTTCTCAATATTGACTGGAAAATGTGCTTCTCAGAATCATAATATTAGTCTGAAAAGAAAATACAACACTGCCAAAACCAAAAGAGTGTGTAAGGAATGGTGAAATTAATTTTTGAAAGGTATTCTTTCATTGGAACTTTTGTGGTCAATGGAGTGCTAAATGAATGTACGTTAAGGCTTAAGTGGCCTAAAAGTCCAAAACAACTAATACATTTTGGCTATATTTGTTAATATGCCTGTGATTCTAAGCTCATTGCAAAGGTTTTAAAGTTAAATCAGGTTCTTTCGAACTGTTGCTTGTCGGGCACTTCAGACACCATTCCTTTTGGGGGCAAAGCACTGTCTACAGCCATATAGGTCAGAAAAAAAATGTTTAGAAAACATTGAAAAACAATATTCCTAAGTACCCATTCAGCCCTAAAACACAGCCATGCCATCAAAAACATAAGTATATTTAGCTGAAAAGCTGTATAATGCAAGACACTTCGTTACTCTAGGAGGTTTCGTGAAAAAGCACATTGTGCTGCTGTAATACAGTTTAAAATAATTTAAAGTCTAAGCATCTTCTTTAGATACGCAATTCCATGTTTTTTTTTTATCCCTGGCAGGACCGGGATTAAATAATTTAGGTAAATAACTTCTATTAGGAATCATTTCTATTAGGAATGATTTCTTAATCTATCAATGTTAATCTATCAATAGAAAAACACATTGCCCGACGTTAAAAAAGCATCTTGCATCACATAGCTTGAAAAATAATTTTATTTCGAGAGACTGGATAAGTACTTCAAGTGTTTTTTTAATTTCCTGAAAAAGTAGTAATAATTTAACAATATATGTAACACGTTTGCATTTGTTTGGGAGCTATATTACAATATGTATTTTTCATATATAAGATATAACGATGTGTTCCTGCTTACACATTGCATGACTTTAAAAGCTATAAAAACAGGTTTCGAATCGTGTCTTTTTCACATTATCTGGCGAGCCTTGTTTTGTCAAAGAACCAGAGATCATCTCGCTTTCAGAGGACAGCACAGACTCAGAAGGCCGCAAAGATACTACAGTAGCAAGGGCTAATTGCACTATGGACCGCACAAAGAAATGTAAAATAGTCTTCTTTAGGTGTGAGGGCAGGGGTGGATCGCAGCAGGAATACACAGCAAATGAAAACAAAAAACAGGGCAGGTGAGATGAGTATCCAAACAGTGAGTGATCAGAAAAAAGAAAACAATTGTTATGCCTGGCTTTTCAACGCAATTTATTATTTAACTTGTTAATGCATCTGACACATTTCCTTGCGTATTGTGTTTTAAATAAGATTGGAGTGTCTTTCCCAGGTATTAGCTTATCTGTATGGTGCAAGTTTATCTGTACCATACTGTATAGAGGCACAGACTTCAAGCTGCACCACTGTATCGCTTTGGTAAGGAGACAGACTATGGCCAAAATCACGAAGACTCTCTCACAAAGTAAAAAACAATCACGAAGACTCTCTGACAAAGTAGAACACAATTACTTGAAAAACCGTGTGTGTGTGTGTCTCTCTCTCTCTCTCTGCTGGCGTTTTTTAATAGTTTTTATTTTTAAATAGATTTTAGCAAGTGAGAGAGAGAGAGAGAGAGAAACTCCCAGGGGTGCAGAACCAGGGAACTATTTACATATTAAAACTATTTCCCAAATTTAATATTTGCTTTTCTATATTTATTGTCAATTAATTGTCCATAATATTGCTATTCTATTTTTTCAAAGAAATGTTTGTTAAAAAAAAAGAGTAATGGCACCAGCTGGATATGAACACACAATCCATGGTTTAGTAATCAGGGATGTAAACCACAGTACCATCCACAAGGTTACCTGAGAAGTGAAGAAACAGCCCTACACAAACAGTATCAACAGACATTGTACAGCGTGTACTATTCTTGTGTTGCGGTACATCAATAGATACTGTATGTGTATACAGTATACTACTCTTTGTATTACAGTACATGAATATAATTATATTGTTACTAATTTCTTTAGATACGCGATTCCATATTATATTCCCTATTAATCAAATTCTAAAAGTATGCTTGTTGACTCTGGTATCGAGCGTATTCGCAGAAAAGCTTAAAACTACCACTTTTTATACACGTTCTTTCATGTGTTAGTTACTGTAATACTGTATGTTTATGTAACAAAATCAATATCGT